GATAACGCAGAGTTAATTCCTAGTATTAGAGTAATAAGTGACAGCTGCTTCGTTCTTGACGACCTTCGTGTTCTAAAAAGTTTCTCCCTGTTATCACGAAGACACAGCTTGCTGTCAATTACATTTATGCTGTTCAATATACGAGGAAGATACTGTCTGTGTATTGTAACGTTGAGAATTAAAGTGACAATGCAGGTGGTATGGTATGATACAGATGAAATAAACCACATCGTTCGAATTGTTGAAAGTAGAACAGGTTCATCAATGACGGCTACAAACAATTCTGAGATACAGAATCCCACGAGGATGAGAATGGTCTGGAATGTCGTCAAGATAATGTCTGAATATTGAAAACTCTTTCCTCTTGCAGCAGAATTTGCCTTCTGAATTGAAAACGGCGCTAATGCCAGTAATCTTGAAATAAAACACAGAAGTTCAATTTCGAAATAAATATTGTATTTTAATTCGTGATTCTTCATACTGATATTTACGCGAACACTGAACACGTTTTAGGCGACTTGTGAGTTTGTCGTGGGTTCAGGCGTACTGAAAGAAATGTACATTTTCTCTGCTACGTCTCAGAGTAAGTAATGAACGCTTTTACGTACCAAATGTTCATCCCATTTTCCGTCCCTTTAACGTAATATATAAAGTACATATATCACGTCTTTATTTTCCTTACAGAAATAGTAGTAATAAATTTTCAATTCACGGTCTCAAATGTAAAACACTTTGTGTACTACGTAAGTGCATGAAAGTGAATTCGATCATTTGTAGGGTTAATGTGTAGGACGATATTTTCAGTTAATATTGAGGCACAAAAATCAGTTAGTAGAGCTTTAAAAATGCTAATGAATTAATTTTCCTGGTGTATACAAATTTCTTTAATAACAATAAATTAACGGCTTTAAACGTGTGGTTTAAAATAAAAGTAATTGACGTAGTGAAATATTGAAACCGATTTCCGGTCTCTTTAGTTATGAATACAGGGTATAGCTGATCTATGTTAGAAAGCTGAGGTCGTTTGCCTTTTTTCTCTTCCATGTCTCTACGTAAACTTGTCATCTTGTATGAATAAATACCACAAAGTATATGTTACTGTAATAGACGTTCAAATTATCATTATACGAGCAGATACAATCTATTTGCAGCCACGTTTATGTTTGTTTGCTTTCGAAATTGTCTCTTCCATAACGACGTCGACATCATACGACAGTTGATATCTACTCCAGCAGGAAACATATCGTAACTCTGCCAGTTAATTCGCCAGTCCCAATTGAAAAGTGAAGAAAATGGACGTGAATTAGCTGTAGATATAAGCCTGAGAATCTGGTAACATTATTTTCCGTGTATTTTTAAGTTATTGTATTTCGAAGCATCCTGTGATGAACGATGACTAAGGAGAAGTATCCGAATCAAAAATTAGGATCTGTGACCGAATAATAAATTTAATGTGACGTAAGAAACATATAAAAAAATTTCAAGTTAATATTTAAGCGCTTGTTGTGATATATGAGTATGTATAAACACGTGATTCTTATGGAACTTTGTTTACTTCCCTGTTTTATATATATTTAATGTTCGGTTTATTTATGCAGAGTAAGAAACAAGACATACAGTTTTACAAAACCACGTAAAGCTTAATTAATATTTTACTTAGTTCGTCTTAACTAACTAACTAGATGGCTTACCGAACCCGAAGGTTCATCACCGAATTAACCAAAGCCCTCCACCGGACCCTGTCCTGGGCCAACAAAATCCAGTTTCCTTCAACTCCTATCTCCCATAGATCCCGCCTGAGATTATCCTCCCATCTTCGTCTAGGTCTCCCCAGCGGTCTCTTCCCTTCAGGTTTCCCAACCAGTACCCGGTGCACACCTCTTGTCCCATCCATGCGCGCTACATGTCCCGCCCATCTCACTCTTCTCGACTTAATCACCCTCACAATACTGGGGGAGCAGTACAGATTTTTAAGCTCGTCATTGTGCAGTTTTCTCCACGCCCCATCGTCTTCCCTCTTAGGCCCAAATATCCTCCTCAACACCCGATTCTCAAACACCTGCAATCTGTGTTCCTCCCTCTGAGTGAGAGACCATGTTTCGCACCCATACAAAACAACAGGCAAGATTATTGTTTTGTATACTTTAATTTTCAGGTTCTTAGAAATCAGACGGGAAGACAAAATATTTTGGACTGAGAAGTAGCAAGCATTTCCGGAATTTAGTCTCCTCCTAACTTCCTCACAAGTATCATTTTGATTTGTTATTGTTGTTCCCAAATATTTGGACTTTGTAACCCTTTCAAAGGATTTATTAGCCACCCTAAGATAATTTTGCTCGCCTGTCTTCTGATGACGAGATACTAACATGTACTTAGTTTTTTCTGAATTTACTTCTAGCCCCACCTGTCTACTAGCCTCTAGTAAAACTTCTGCGTTCCTCTTTATTGTATTTATATCGTCCCCCAATAAATTAATATCATCAGCATATGCCAATAGCTGATGTGTCCCGTTCAATTGCCAACCCTCCTGCCTACCTTGGACCTTCCTGATGGCGTATTCTAGCGCAAAGTTAAAGAGCAAGGGAGACAAAGCATCTCCTTGTTTTAGACCGTTCTTGATGAGGAATGTCTCAGATACATATTTACCTACTCGAATTTTGCTACAGGTTTCATTTAAGCACATTTTTATTAGACCCACTAGCTTCTTTGGTACGTGAGGAATACAGACATAAATTTCTCATTTAAATCCCTATTTGATATATTAAAGACATGTGGATTAGTGCTTTTATAGTTCTTAGGAACAAATAACGATTATTAATTTCTGGTTTAGTTTTTGTGTCTGTGTGGCTAATTAGTCCTTTTTTTTGTAGGAATGTGCCTGAGTTACGTATATTGAAGTCAGTCCTTCAAAATGTCCGTGTCATGTCCTTATAATTCTTACCAGTATCGCTACTGAGATTCTGACGTATGTAAAGAAAAACGATATTCAGCTCTTCCTGGAGAAATATTTAATATTTCGATCGGTTTATTGAACTATGGAAATGAAATTATTTATATAATCATGCACCTGACATTTCATAGCTCGTGTTGTCTTGGAGAAAACGTGTGTTTACGTATTGCGTTTCTACTATCTATTACGCACTTTACGAACTTAATAGAGCAGCTGAAGATAATGGGGGTTTATACTTTATTTTAATGCTATTTATAATATATTTATCTGCATATTCTTGTTTGTAGCAGGGTACGTATTAACAACGAGGTGTTGTCAATCAAGTGATTAATCAAATAGAAGATGTGTTAACATATAAAAATTCCAGTTATATCGATAAATAAAAAACAAATTAATTAAAGAGCTTCAGGAAATGTGCTCGAAATTAGTGTTAATGAAAGTATAATTTAGTGCGCTCGGGTTCTTTGTGTTAAACCGGCCGTTTCTGTTTACAATTAATACTGGCGTGTGCACTTACATACTAATAATGATGCACTTAGAGTAGTTAACTGTCTTGCTTAAGTGAATACAAATTTGTGGTTCGCGATTATTTCATTTGTACCCATAATTCGTATGTATAAGAATAATATTTGTGCTAATCGTATTGTAACACATCGAGAGACAGATATTTTTATAAAGAACATGATAACATAAACATTAAATACTATCGCATTTCTATACAATTTTGTAAGCAATATTATCTGAAGACATAAATTTGGATTTAAACAATTGATAGAGTAGGCTAAGTTCGTGATTAAGTGGTAACTGAAATAAAATAAAATTTACGATATAGATATAAAATGACACTTAATTTAGTTAAAAACGCTTATCTTTAGCCTTATCTAGTGAGAGTAGAGTTGTGTTATATAAATCCTTATACTTTCACTTTGCTAATTAATGTCCTTTTACACTTAATGACATTGTGCCAGAGTCGTATAAACAATGTCGATATATATGCTGAAATATTGTGAGGTTAAAATCACTCTGCTTAAGGTAACAGACAACAATTCTTGTCTGACACACGGCTTGAATGAATTATTATTAACAAATTCCTGCTTTATGGAAATTCTATTCCGTTATGTAACGTAAATTTTGAAAAACGAATAATAACTTGTTCAAAAAAAATGCTTCTACATTCATTATATCTGTACTTACAGTGAAATTATTTCGTTAAACAACTTCAACTGACCGATCTCTTTAATGGAAGCCCATTGTGTTTCGTTTTAAAGAGTAACCGCGTTCGTAACATTACTAGAAAACTGCCCGTCAAGAACGACTTTAAAATGTAAAGCAATACGAAAACACATTTTATTAAAAAACATAGAACGTTGCATTTACAAAATAAAATTAAGAGATGTATGACAGAGAAATGTGTTTCAGTACGCCTTCTTTTATAATTAAGAAATATAATAATATACCGTTTACTGAAATTGAAATTAAGTTCTTTCGTCGAGGTTCCAAGAACTGTGCTTCGTTGTACAGAAATTTACGTATTCAGTAGACGATGACAGAAGTACATGCACGTAGAAGGCCTGCCTTAATGGAATTACCATGACGACAGTTATAATGATATCCTATGCAACATAAAATTTCTTGAAAGCAAATAATGACCACTCAAAATTGCACAGTATACAGATGTATTTACGTAAATTTTGGTCATCTGGGTAATTGTACCTCGTGTTTAGTCTCAGAAGATTACGCGGTATCACAACCAAGGGACACAATAAACGGGCTTCCCACACATATATTATTGTGAAGATTTCTGTCTTCTGGGTTGTTGCACTGTGTAGTCTGGTCGATGTTAACCAACGTTTCAGAGGTCATACTGCCTCCGTCATCAGGGTCATCAGAGATGACGGAGGCAGTATGACCTCTGAAACGTTGGTTAACATCGACCAGACTACACAGCGCAACAACCCAGAAGACAGAAATCTTCAAGCAACTGGCTGTTGGCTTGTTATCATTTGCTGAAAACGGATTTTGGACCTTAGGTCTGATGTTGTATTTGCAGGTCACCTTCATAGAACCGACATCACCAATGGCAAATAACTCTGTGACATCCAGCCCGATTTACACAGCCGTAAAACCACTGCACTTGGTGTGCAAAATATTTGGACTACTACCATGGTTGTTCAAGGAAGACCTTATTAAGAAAACTGTGCCAATTGCCTGTGATTTATTTAATATTACATACAGCCTGTTATGGGTAATTTCATTTTCTGTGGGATTATGTTGCCATATTCGTGATAATTCATCTGAGGATATGAACAATTTAATGCCAAAACTACGTATTATTGAAAATATTGATGTTATTTTTACGTACCTTACTAGCATTCTATGTTTGGTTCATATGTCAGTAATCAGTAAGATAAAGTTTACTCAGTTACTTGATAAAGTTTCAAAATTGGACGGTAAACTTTTTAATTTAAAAGAAGAACAGAGTGCTAATAGGAAAACGAAATTCATTATCATAATGGAATTAGTAAAATATTACACTCGTCTCTTCAATAAATGTTGAAACCGATAGTCATGTATCGATAAGCCAAAATATCCATTCTATTAGGGCTTTATACAACGGAATATACGACATTGTTTGCCTTGTAAATTCCCTTTATGGATTATCAATTCTTGCTATTACGTGTTGCGTCTTGGTGGAACTCGTTTTCGTCACCTATTACGCACTCTGTTGCTTCCAGATCGATTTCGTCGTAGAAATATTTGGCGATATATTTCTGTCGTTGATGTTTGTGAAAATGGCCACTGTCTGCCAATTTGCTGCAAACGAGGGAGAAACTTCAAGAATTCTGGTGCAGAAATTACTATTAGAGGACGATTTAAAAGAAGAAGATTATAAGGAACTGGCAATGTTATCGGCTCAGTTGAGGGATATGAAGATTAGATACAAAGCGTGTGGATTTTTTACGTTGAATCTTCCATATTTGTGCAGCATGGTGGGCGCGATAGTGTCATATGTAATTATTATGGTTCAGATACAATGAGGCCACGTTAGTAGTGAATTTGCATTACGAAATGCACTCTGGCGTGTTTACAACCATTACTGATATAGCTTATGAAATTTGTTTTGTTTCTTGGTAATTTGTACTTAATTTAATTGGTGCTTTCAAAAACACTGTTTATACCTACACCTAACGTTAATGTAATCACATAATTTAAACTAAATGCTTTGTATTTGGAGGAACGTTTGAAAAGTACACAGTTTTTGAGTGATTGTCTCTGGCGATTGTCCCATAACTATGATAAGGACGAAGGCGTGTAACATTTATTCTGTGACAGATCCATTTTATAAGCTTTGCAAAGTTATTGGCTTATTTCCAAATTACAATACTGGACGTGTGAAAAGAGATGATGGGAAAAATCTTGTTAGGTTATGGGGTTTATTGTGGTCATTGACTGTGGTCACCATTCTTGTGGTCTGCTTTGTCTACCGAATAACAAAAACTATTTTTGAAGAATATAATTACGTTAAATCTGTCATATGGGTTCCGGACATAATTGCGAGTTCCGTGACGTTCATATCAGGTATAATATGCATTATAATTAGTGCTAATGGTCAGAGTGTTAAGCTGAATGCTGTTGAACTGGAGATCGACGCAATTGAGAGACACTTCTGCGGTCTACAAGCAAAGAGTAACAATTTCAATAAACTTGGTCTCGCATTAATAATTATAGTCGTGTTTATGGTTGTTCTTATGGTATCTACGAGTTATGCATACATTTATTTGTGGAGGTCATATTTTAATTCATATGTTCTTTTTGGCGAACATTATTGCTATATTATATTTTATTTAATATTTGTGAAGTACGTATTTTATGTTAGAGTCTTACATGGATATTTCAAAGAATTAAATATTCATATAATGTCAGCGTTAGATAATAAAACAGTGGGGGAATTTGATAAAATAGAGGAGCGTACTTTAAATACCACTAAATGTTTCGAAGTGGTTATTATTGAAGATTTCCCTCTGAGAGACGCAGAATACGAAAGCAAATGCTTTCCAGATTTGTCTGTATCGAAGCGTCAAAATATGGTAGATGTGCAGATCTCATACACAAAATCAAGAAATTGCAGATTGAACTTTACGCTTTGACTCAACTAATAAATTCTACATTCGGTTTTCAGATTTTCCTAGTTTTATCCGCGATATTCCTTATGAATACTTTTTCTTTCCAACTGATGTCATATTTTATAATGAATCTCGCCAGAAATTACTATGATGTCGTTGAAACTACTTACCGAGGTTACATTGCCATCGTCTGGGGAACAATGAATTCCGTTCTACTCGTCATTTTTTCTATAGCCTGCGATGAAACGAGCGAAGAAGCTGCTAAGTCTGTTCCACTCGTCTACTCGCTCCTCGTCGGTCTAGACGCCGAGAGTAGCTTGGCAGCTGATCTTTGCTCATTCTTCTCTCAGCTCACGAACTTAAAGATTCAATTTACGGCCTGTGGTTTGTTCACAATCAATCTACAATTTCTTTTCTCTGTCATAGGTGTCACTTGTACTTATGTGATTCTGTTGTATCAGTTAAGCTGAATATCTTGTAGAAGATGGTTTAATTTTATTTTATTACTGTGTAAAGCACGTGTATTTCCTCAGACTCTTGATATCGATATGAAATAAAGTAATTTAAACTGTGTCTAACGATGTTTTCTTACTTAGATGTGAAGATAAGTGCGCTAAGTTCATCTAAACTTTGATAAATGTGTGTTATATTTAAGTAGTTTGCTTGCGTTCGTACGCACAAAGTTTAAATTGATTCGAACCTGGGGAAAACTTTGAAATAACGCAACACGTGAGAAGGCTAACAAGAATTCTTGGCAATAGATACATCGCAATGCTGGTATCGTTAGGAAGGTTTTAGGAATAATCTGTTTAGATGACTGTAACCTTGAAATAACGTAGTACGTATTTGTCTGATATGTTCATTGCTGTCCAACGTTGGACGGGTGGCAAACTAAATGAAGGATTGAGTGAATAATTATACGAAATAAATAATTCCAGTTCACTTATGGTGAGCCTCTTTTAGCGAGCTTCGCTGATTGCCTGACATTTCAGAGAAAGGAGCGAATTTACACATAAATTACTTTATTCGTTATGTCAAGTGCATCCAGCATGCAAAACGATACCAAAGTGTTGTCAAGATAATGTACTTAAAACTTGATTACTGAGTTTTTTTAAGTTTGTTCATCGTCGAAGACAAAAGCACATACTCCGCTGGATTGTGACTGTCCAGAAACATAGTAATCCGATGTCCAGCACGTAATGAGAGTGACGATATTAAAACTGCGCAATTGTCTTATGGATCTGTGGGTCACTTTTCCTCAAAGCATACAAGTCTAGGATTTGTAAACTTTTTGTAGCATAAATTATTTTTATTTACAAGTGGTAAATCGAGAAACAATCAGTTAGCCTTAAATGTATTTAATAAGAGATCAGGTTTCGAATTATACGTAATAGAAGACCCGCACTAATTTAACTCATTGGAGTAAGGCCAGTTTCGAGAAGCTCTTAGGCGATCAGCTGATTACAAATTTCCGGAACTTGAAAATTCGTCATCATGGCTACAAGACCACGCTACGATTTTCCTGTCGTGAGTCGGTGTGTCATCATCACTCTGTCCGTATGACGTGATGTTCAGTTACATAGGTCATTCAGATATATATTAATAGTTTTTTATCAACGGCTTAGGATCTCCACGTTTTATAATTGCACCTCGCACTGAATACAAACAGACATGTAGCCCAAATGGTAGAAGAGAACGCAAGTATCACGCACATTAAATAATAACTTATCTAGTAAGGATCACAAAACGGTTACCTGTGCGTGGTAATATTTGAAATTAGGGGACGAAAAATTTTGTTTGTGTGCATGATTGTATATATATTTGATCGCTTAACATTGATTCATACATACGTTATGATTTCTTAGTTGAATATTTTTCTTACATCTCTTTTGTAATCCTGAGATAGATAAATAAATAAATAATAAAATACATTCTGTTTAATCTGTTTGTACGTTCGGTAACATTTAAGTAATCTTTTACTTTATTCATTCCCCCTGGGTTATCAAGTCACCCCCTGCTTTTGTTCAATTGATATGCGCTGTGATGTGTCACGAATTTCGATTTCAACAACTGAAAACGTATTCGCGCTGTGGCATGTTCAAATTTTTGAAGTCCAGATGTAATAAGAAAAAATATTTGTGATTGATTATATGTCGCACGGCACATAATGTCTTCTGTAATGAAAGCGGGTGATTGTATATGTTCCATTTTACAAGTCCTGCTACCTTTAGGAATATTTTAGGCGAACGAACTGAAGAAATGTTGGATAAGGGATGAAGTTACGTTTTACAAGTCCTGCTACCTTTAGGAATCTTTTAGGCTAACGAACGGAAAAAATGTTGGATAAGGGATGAAGTTACCAAATAAATAAACTGAACTGAAATATGTTATTTCCTATGTGGCGTATATTAATAAATCTTAACGCTTGTAATTACTTAATCTTCAACAAGAATCTTTAATAAACTTCTTAAATTATGTAAATATAGCAGGGCACCTGGATTACTTAACTGATACATGCAAATGTCAGATAAGTTGATTTAATCAAACAATATGAGAATATCAGCAACACAGTCAAAGTCCACGTGTTTTTCACTTAATATTACGCGAGAAATCGCCTTAACTGTGGCCAGGGCTCTCTCCCGCGGCATCGATATAAGATCTGTGGTAGACTGCACAGAGTTTCATCTCACTATTTCATGAAAGAGTTTATTATAAAGAGGTTACAGCAGTGATTCAAAATGACAAAGCCAGTACATTTGAAACAAAAAGATATTTGGTAAATTAATAGTTGATAAAAATTAATACAGTAATCAAATAATTGAGGATGAGAGCACGCAACATTTTGATTGAAAAGCCAAAATGGAAGACCTAGGCGCAATTTTGAGGATAATTTTGAAATTATTTTTTTAAGGAAATACGGCGGGGGTTTGCGAAATTGATTCGTTTGGTCAAAGGTGTGGGCCCTCGGGGGGCTGCTGAGAAAATTGAAACTTAGGGGTTCTAATTTATCACTGGCTAAGTCACCGTCGTCTTCTCAGAACGAACTGTGATCCGCGGATGTATAATCACGTGGCAATTCCTCGAATAAAATTTTAATTGAAAATCATGTCGCAAGTATGAAGAAATTAAAGCCGACAGTCGTCTGTCTGTGCCCCTAACTGGAATTGTGCGTTAAACAGGAGGGCAAGGAAATAATTATGCATGAATATGTATACTGCTGAGTGATAATACGGAGTTCATGCTTACCTGAAATCTCCAAGTTCGTTTGAACCATAAAAGCACAGATTCATAAATACAGCTGAGTCTTTATTGTGCAATACTTTCATTTACAATCAAATACGAATAGTAACAAGAGCTTAATTGAAGTGAAACATTTTCTGGTGCTTTGCTATCCTTTGTTAAGCATAGTTTGCTGAATTTAATTATTAAACAATTACTTTCATAAAAATATTTCTACAGAGATTTACTGAAATATTCAGACAAGAGAATAAGCATTGTTATGCTTATTGCTCCAGTCTGTAATTCACAATTTTTAATTCAAAAGCCCCTCTGTCAAGAGGGAGACTTGATAAATTTACATTGTTTTTGTCGTAAATACGTTTATATGGAAGGGTCATTCCCCAAAAAAGTGTTACGATAGAAAAATGTGTTAGATCCATATCAACAATGTGTAAATATGGACCGACAACAATGGTCAGCTTGCGTTCATTGTTATGTTACCTAAGAAACGTCATCTGTTTACTCGGCATCGTTGTGTTACATTACTGCCGTCAACAATCCGCTTTCGTAACAATATGAATGACATTGAAGATAACATTACATTACGTAAATATAATTTAAATACAGAGACGTATTTACGTCAAATTCTCCACTGTAACTTTTTTTAGATTGGAATTTCACTCTTATTACATTACACTGGGTTTATGAAAATACACTATTAACGTGGCCTCATTCTATCTGAATCATAATTATAACATATGACACTACCGCGCCGACCACACTACACAGATATGGCAAATTCAATGTAAAGAATTTGCAAGCTGTGTATTTAATCTTCATATCCCTCAACTGAGCCGATAACATTAGGAGTTCTTTACAGTCTTTATATCCTAAATCGTCCTCTAACATTACCTTCTGCACCAGGATTATCGACGACTGGATTTCGTTTTCAGAAATTTGGCACATTATGATCATTTTCAGAAATATCAAAAAGAATATGATATCTTTAGAATTGGTTATGATGAAATCTACATCAAGAGAAGTCACCGCGACGTACGTGATAAGAACGAGGTCTAACAAAATCCAACAGGACATCGCAAGAAGTGGTAATCCATATAAATAATTGACAATACAAGCCACGTCGTACAGCTGATTGTACAAGATTCTTATAGAATGTATCTCTTGGTTTCCAGATACATGATTACTTGTTTCGACTCTTATTAAAGATACATATGGAGTAGTCGCGTTGCGTTTATTAATAGGCTTAATGTGTCCACAGTAACTGATTTTGTTTACACGATTAGGACAACTTATGAAGGTTGTAAGTTGTTTATTAAGATGTCTCTGCCTCTGCGTCACGATTAGAACACAATTATTAATTAGAAGAACAGTGAGTGTGTTACATATGTAACTAGAAAGGGTAATTACTTGCGTAATGTAATCAAGTACCTCCCTTTTTGAACGTGTTTGGGCAGTGTATATTTCATACGATATCTCATACGATATGAAGAGTAGTAACATAACTGCAAGTTCCGTTATGATGATGAAGTTGGTCCTTCTGTTTACGTATTTTTCTTCGCTCAGAGTGAACAGTCCATAATCTGCTTGCGAAACTTTTTCGAGTAGCCGAATAAACTTGTTCTTGCAGACTATCGATAAATGAACTAAACATATAATGCTAGTGAAATGCGTAGAAATAACACTCATTTCAGTTAGAATTCGTACCTTCGTCACATTATCAGAAGACAGATGCAAGAGTTTTAAACATAATCTCACAGCAAATAAACATATCCAGACCAAGGAGCAGACGATATTTAAGAAAACACAAACAGTTGGTTCAGTTCTGTCGGCACGGTTTCTCCCGAAGCTGCAAGGAAACAGTCCAAATAGTGCACAAATGAAGGTCAGAGGTTTTAGAGCTACGTAAATTTGCCCTGAACCTGCAGTATTCTCCGTCATTGTGAATGAGGTCTGCTGTGGGACGTTTGTCTTCAAATACAGCCCCAGTCCCGTTAAAATACAACTATTTCGTTATCTGTAAGTATTGATCGGTCCGATACGTCATGAAAATATTGCCCCATTAAACGTCAGCAATATACCGCATGTATAAATAAAATATAAGATTATATCCGAATGAAATTCCCTTGGCTCCATATTGATTTCGACTGTCACGGAATGCGACCTTAAGTTTATTAACGTTCAGAGTTATTTCTGAATATATATATATATATATATATATATATGAATTAATTGAAATAAGTGAGAGGTGTAATTAAACCTGGAGATTTGCGCTCCTTAGTCGTAATGATGAATCCATAATAACATACCTGTCTTACTTTATTTGGACAATAAATACATAGATATACAGAGCATATAAGGTGGATTACATTTTATGTACGTTTAAGTACGTGTATTAATGGAAAGTTGCCTGAAACTCAAAATTTGACAGTTGCACTTGGATTAATATTCCATGAAATCGGTGAAACAGTGATTTGACAGTAAGTAGTCTTTCGATGATTTATTGAAATATTCACATACACAAAAAAAGATTAGCATAATTTTGCGTGTTAAGTTCCTTTAAAAACTTGAATTCTATGAAAGCTATCCAACGTAAAATCATTCAACGGCGTCATTATTGTACTATTGATTTTAGTGTGTGAATAATTAAGGAATCGGTGATTCAATCTATAATTCAGTTTCTAAGATTTGAATTTCCTCTTTCGTATGAGTTAGATTATAGATTCTTACATTTTAAAATTAATATACCGTGCATATAGCATTACAGTCGGTTAAGGAAATTTACTATTATCGTGACCTTATTGTAATTGAATCATAATTATGATGTAAGATACTGTCAGACTAATTGTAATTGAATCATAATTATGATGTATGATACTGTCAGGCTGGTCACACTACACAGATATGGCAGATTCAATGTAAAGAATCCACAAGCCGTGTACTTAATCTTCATATCCCTCAACTGAGAAGCTAACAGTCCCAGTTCCTTACAATCTATCTCATCTATATTGTCCTCTAATAGTAGTTTATGAACGAGATTTATAGAAGTTTGTCTCTCGTTTTCAGCAAATTGACATACAGTAGCCATTTTTACAAACAAGAAGAAGAAGATGATATAATAAAAAGCTACTTTTAAGGTATTTATAGTGAAACAACACAGAAAACTATACACGGTAAGAACGAGTTCTATCAAAACCCAACATGCCATCACAAGAATCGGAAATCCATATTGAAAGTTTATAACACTAACCATGTCATACAGTTCGTTATACAGGATCCTAATAGAACGTATGTCTTGGCTTGTCGATACGTAATTAATTCTTTTAAAGCCTGTTGAATGGACGTGTGGTACCGTTGCGTTGCATTTAGAAACACGTTGAACGTGCCCACAGTAGCCCAGTCTGTTTACGTGGTTATGGCCGCGGAAGACATTTTGAAGAAGTTTGTTAAGATGGCCGTGTCTCCGCGTCACCATGACGACGAAAGATGTAAACAGAAGTATAGTGAGAGTGTTAGTGATGAACGCAGCAATGTTAGTAATCACTGATATAAGGATAATCACGTCCCAATTTGGATGAACACTAGAATTGTATGTTTCATACGATAGAATCAGCAGTAATATAATTACTAGCTCCGATATCACGATTATACTCGTTTTCCTGTTGACACGCTGTTCTTCGTCTGGAGAAAATATTTTATAATCCACCTGTGAAAGTTTCTCAAGTAGCCGAATAAACTTCATGTTGCTGATTATTACTAAGTGAAAGGAACATACGATGCTGGTAATATACTGAGAAATGAAATGCATTTTGTAAAAAATCTGTATCTTCAGAGCTAATTTGCTCCTATTTTGATATGACTGATTCAGTATTCTGACACTTAATCCCAGAATAAACACAATGACCCATAACATGCAGTACGCAATATTAAAAATACGATGAACAGAAACTCTGTCTCTCTTGATGCAGTCTTCTTGTAAGTACCAAGGTAGCAGTCCACATATTTTACACACAAAGTACAGTGGCCTTAGATATCTGTAAATTCGGCTAGAAATGTAGGCGTCCTTTGCCATTTCGTACGTGTTCTGTGAACGTAAGCTCCTAAAATGACAAGGCCTGTCCGATTGAAATGAAACTCATTCGTGAGCTTCATGTATCGATTACTCACATACCTTACTGATAAAATGTTTTAGTACTCATCCACAATACGTCGCATACATAAAAAAGTAAACGATTATGTTCGATAAGGAATTTCGTTGGGGTACACTTTCATTTCCACTCTCACGGAACGTGCTGTCGAGTTCACTTTCAGTTAACACGCCATCTATGTTTTAATTATTCGGTGGAACTGCTTGGAAGTGAATCTGCCATATTGCCTGTACCGAGCACCTCGTAAGAACCGGGCTTTGACAGAGCCTTGGGCTGGTTTCGACCCCCCGCGATGTTGGTGAGTGTCTGCCATCAACTTGTCTGTGTTTTGTGCCAAATAAATACATGAATCGATGTGTAATAATTAGGTACGAATAAGAAGGCTCCTTTTGAATAATTTGCTTTCTCTGCAGTACTGAGGAAAATCTCGTCCCTTATGCACTGCACGTTAAAAGACGTAAACTCAATTTCTCTCACTAGAGAATATTCTGTGTGGGAGACAGTCCAGACGTAAACTCAATTTCTCTCACTAGACAATAATATTCTGTGTGGGGGACAGTCTGTTCTCCCTTGAACAAACAAAGACTCGTACTAGAATGCAAGTTATTAGTACGATGGTCGAGGACATGGCGCCGCGATGTACGATAAGGACCATGAATATTCCGCTGAGAATATTTTCAATATGCTCGATTTCGAGATCTCGTGAGATTTTGAGATATCGCAGGGTCAGCGGAGACCTCCTGGCTTTTGTACCGTGGCATACCTGAAGAAATGTTGGACCGTGTAGTCTATTAGAAGTATGTCGACGTTTCAGAGGCGCTTAAGTTCGCCGTCATTACGCACATAGTAATGCCTGAGATAATTTAATAAATCTTGACTGAATTCAGACTTGAACGTCTCAACTACTGTAACTGTACCATAATTAGAATGTACGTAAGAATTCCACCAATCACTGTACACAGTAACGAGAAGTTGAGGGCAAAAATGCCACAAGCCGTGAACTCAACTTTCATATCTTTTAATTGATTTGATAAATTATTCAAATTCATTAACTTTCCGTGTTTTATATTAGGATGTGATGTAATTATTTGAATGCAGATGATTCCCCTGTGCCCCTCCAGCTCAGTCTGATGACAGCACACGATCAACCAAGCAAACAACGTCGCATATAAAAACGTCCAGAATATTAGTAGGCAAGGCTTGAAGTACAAAGTGAAATCAGCAATGTCAGTATTAATACTACAAAAAATATAAAGTCCGTAGTAAAACGCAGTGACGCACACAATCACCAATGAAATTATTTGCAATAAAATCTGGATTCCGAAATATGAATTGATCAGAGCCACAGTTTCATACAGTCGAATGTATGACAGCCTCAATATATGTATGCCATAGTTTTCAATGTTTACGTATGGTCGTACGTCGGTCGATGCCATGAAGTTATTGCCGCAAAATATATTAACACTAGAATTACGACTGTGAGTTTTGCCATAAATTATTCTTGCAGAATCTTCTGTTTCGGAATATTTCGTAATCTTCTCGATCATAAACTTGTATCTGTGCAGTAACATGCGAACTAAGGTGATGTATTGTAAAACCACAACGATGTTCAAAGTGTAACTTATGTTGTCCACTAAAGCTTGAAGAATTGATACAAGTTTACCATCGTAATAAATGTAGTAGCTACCAGAATACGATAGCAATATCAAAACAAAGACAACGATAATACGTCTTAAAACACTTAATTTTGTTGTTTTATATATCTTATTTCTGCTTCGTCTGTCTAATATTTTATCAAAATTTTTAATCTTTTTGAATATGTTGATAGTATGACTTTTATTGCAACAGTTATTCGTTATTAAAGTAATTATATTTGTTAATGTCATTGATAAATTATTAAAGATGAACGTAACCTTTATCTTCTCGGGAACATCCGAAACTGAATATAAGAATGTGTACACGTTGCAGCACGTCGTTGAGAGTAATACAGTCACCCACATAAACAGCAAACAGATTTGCATTACTTTATATTTGTAGTTATTTTGTTTCGGAAACGAAAAAGATGTGAGTCCAAATAACTTTGATACGCATAGTAGTGGTTTAATAGAACTGTACATATCAGTCACATCTTCTGTGTTCTCCATGTGCGTGTTTCCTCACGATTCGTGTCTTCGTATAGCAGCAATCGAACTGGAGTGCTGTTCTTTACGCGTGTGTGTAAAGAATTTTACAGCGTCCGAGAATAGAAATTAATTACGTTAGATGAGTCGATATGTGACGCGAATGGAACGTTGAACTCTTCATGTCATTTAACATAAAGTAACACGCAGGGTGTTTAAACTCCCATTTTAACCTCTGAAACGTCGGTAAAATTGTATCGGGCTACATGGCTGAACAACGCAGAACAGACATCTTCAGACTCACCGTCGTGCAAATCTGAAATCGTATGTTTGTGTAACACTCACAATACGAGATGGTAGTTAGTTCTAAGGGAAATAGCTCGCTTGTTGTTTTGTAATCGAGAGGCTTGTCTCTAGATGTTTATTGTATTAACTACTTACTGCAAAAATATAACAAATTACTTTAGACGGAATAGTGTCGTATAGCTACATAAATATTTGACGTACGTAGGTAAACACATAATTAAACTTGTTAATAATCACTAGGGCCTACGCTAATGGCTGGACATAATAATCTCAAATCCGAACATAATTTTTGCCTATACTTTTTACATAAAACGAAATTTGAAAATTCTGTGGTATTATGAATTATTTTGAATGCGGTGACGGGACGCGATAATATTTAAACACGCGGTCTAGATAGTGAAGGCGTCGTTTAATGAGGTATGAATAATTAAATGAATAAATATCCACATCCAGTTTCTTTAGGATTCGGGTTTATTGTATGTTTTATTTTACGTAAGATTCCCTCGAGATTTTCATACCAAGATTTTCTGCGTATTTAGATGTTCCACTTTTATCGTCATCAGTTGAAGTACGCTCCTATGCTATATTTTTACCACACTGGACTGTACGTTTGGTTATTGCTGATACAAATCCATAATTTCAAAGCGGATCACACTTCGTAAACTGATAATTACTTTATTTTGAAGATGACTGTCTTCTGGGTAGTTGCGCCGTGTAATTTGGTAGACTTAGACGTTTCAGAGTTGCGTGCTGCCTTCATCATCAGGGCGATTATTTTATCTCAAAATATCGAAAAGCATTAATAATAAAACTGCTGATTTTCAGTGAGTTGTAGTATGTAATGAACCATTTTTAAGCTGAAATTGTTTAAACGAAATTAATAAGATCCCGGTTTAACCCGCATAAAAATCAGGGATGATATTAGTATGACGTGAAACTTTACATATTTCGTCCGACTGTTTTGAGTGTAGAACAGCTGTTAAAGTATCACCGAAATTCGATTAGTGTATTTGGATGTGAAATGTACAGGGTGTTAAATTACTCGGTGGACCTGGCCACAGGATAATATATATAGTGTAGAGAAATATTTAAGACTATTTTCATGGTCACTGTTTATTAATAAATGTAATACAGTTAATAGTTTTACTAATAATTTATTGAGTTATTTAAAACATACAGTATTTGAGTAAAATCCATATATCATCAAATGCAAATGTAATAGTATTATCTTATGCAAATATTTACAATTTCATTTCATTTAGAATCACATATTAGCGAAGTTTCAATTAGTACCATTCATTTAATGATGCTTGAGATGCTATAAACACTACTTAATGCAGAACTGATTAGAATAACACGTTAAAATTCTGCAAACTTACTGTTCTATAGTCTATTAATATTATCTGTTACATTAATTCACCATAAAATAATATCTTTGTCATGTCCATTAACCAAATAACGTAGCTGAACTGTAGCGCCGTGTAGTCTAGATTAGACGGCGCTACAATGTAGAAGAGATACATTTTCGTATTTGTCACCGTGAGAACCTGATGATCTAACTTAACTGTAATATAATTATAATATACGTAAAGACTTCGCCTAGAACAGTACACAGAAAATGGAAATTTTAATACAAAGAAATCGCAGGCAGTGAACTTAATTTTCATGTTTTTCAATTGATTTGACAGCCTTTCTAGTTCTGATGCTGTGTCGTGCTTTATGTGACGATGAGCCATTAATCTTTGAATGTGATAAAAGCCTTTCTCAGACTCTCGGCTCGTTTCGTGACAGCGAGCGATCATCCAGGTAAATAATGACAAATACAATATACTCCAGGATATTAGGAAACGAGAAGTTACATATATTTGCAAGTTGCTACCATTACTGTCAGTACTAATATTTAAAATGTAAAATCCATAGTACAAGGCGCTGACACACATGGTGACCATGGAGACCGTCACAGATAGGAGCGCGATGCCGGAACGTGAATTTATTAACATAACAGCATCGTAGAGTTCTAGATACACTAATCTCAATTCACGTATTCTGTCGCGTTGATCTAAGGACCTTGTGATGAGTGTGTGTTTTCTACTCGATAAAGTTTTCACTTGGATATAGTCGTCGTCGAGATTGAAGGTCGTGTTCTGCGATATGTGTTTCGTCAGGCCTGCCACGTTTTCTGTTTTAAGATATGTTGCAAGTATGTCGTTAAAGTACTCATATCTGTATTTCAACATGCGAACTAGATTTACGTACTCCACAAAGAACGCAACATCGAATGTATGACATAAGTTTTCCAAATAAAGTTCTTAAAATTTGCAGGGCTGTACCATCGGCATACCCACAGAACACATTAGAATACAAAATTATTTGTGTGATAAATACAAAGGTTATAGTCTTCAAACGTATCTTTTCATACATAATAATTCTTTTCCGTCTTTCAATAAATTTATCAATTATTGACAACTTTTTAATCAACTTGGGGATATTACTATAATTAACTAAGTTT